TCTCAATTTCACCCTCAGGGACCAGTGTTTCCCCTCTGCAATGAGAAAGCGACCTCAGTAGAAAGAAGATGGCTTGCTGTGGGGACAAAGAAATAACAAAGAGGAGCCTACAAATTTGGGGAAACCACAAGCATGAACCTACTGGGAGAATTACCCTGACTTCAGAATTATTCATTGGCTGGCTACTGCTAATTAAATATGGCTCTTTTTTTCCCTTTGATCTGTTTTGTAACAAACCCCTTCAAACATTCTGCACAACCTACTTTGTGTTTTCAAAAACAACCCCAATGATTGAGGGTTCATCTACTCACAAAGAGAGGATGCTACTTAATGACGTGTTTTATAAATTTGTATTTTAAAGACAAAGAGAAAAATGAAAAGGTTGAAGTCAGACAGGATCTCAGCCGGTTTGGCTACTTTGGGCTTCTGGTGTTGGCCAAATCAAGCTAATGGAGAGTAAATACATCCTAAGTAAATGCACTCATCTCTTTAATGCAGAAAATCATCTTCCTTCCAGTTATCACATAGGCAAGAAAATATTATTCTCAAAATATTCATAAATGACTTAGATGAGGGAACTGAAGGGGAACTCATCAAATTTGCAGATGACACCAAACTGGCAGGAGTAGCCAACACCCCAGAAGACAAACTCAGGATCCAAAAAGATCTTGACAAACTCGAACAATGGGCCCTATCCAACAAAATGAGTTTCAACGTGGAGAAAAGCAAAATCTTACACTTAGGCAGGAAAAACTAAAGGTACAAATACAGATTGGGCGAGACCTGGCTTAAAAACAGTAACTGTGAAAGGGACCTTGGAGTCCTAGCGCAGAGGTCCCCAACCTTTTGGGCACCAGGGACCAGTTACGTGGAGAGAGTTTTTTCCGGAAACCGGAGGGGGTGTGGTTTTGTGTGCTGCCTGCATGGGGCTTTCCTTGTTTGTGCGGACTGGTTGCTGGCATGCTGTGGACCAGTACTGGTCCATGGACCGGGGGTTGGAAACCCCTGTTCTAGTGGATGATCACTTGACTATGAGCCAGCAGTGTGCAGCAGCAACTAAAAAAGCTAATACAGTCCTGGGTTATATAGAGGCATAGAATCAAGATCATGTGAAGTATTAATATTGCTTTATAAAACCCTAGTAAGACCACACCTGGAATAGTGCAGCCAATTTTGATCACCATATCACAAAAAAATCTAAAGAAAAGAAGAAATAAGGGAGACATGATAGCAGTGTTCCAGTATCTGAGGGGCTGCCACAAGGCAGAGGGGGCCAGGTTGTTCACCAAAGCACCAGAGGGAAGGACGAGAAACAATGGTTGGAAACTGATCAAAGAGAGAAGCAACCTGGAATTTAGGAGAAACTTCCTGACAGTGAGGACAATCAACCAGAGGAACAGCTTGCCTCCAGAAATTGTGGGCGCTCCATCAGTGGAGATTTTTAAGAAGAGACTACACATTCACCTGTCTGAGATGGTATAGGTTCTCCTGCTTGAGCAGGGGGCTGGACTAGAAGACCTCCAAGGTCCCTTTAATTCTATTCTATTCTATTCTATTCTAACACCTAAATCTAATCAATGAGACCACCTGAGAAACTCAGAACACCTGAAAGGATGGAATCACAGCCCATTTCTGTATTGCTTCCCAAAAAATTACACGGACATGCTGAGGACATCATCAGGATTTAGTGAAGACTTTGCCTTTAAAGTTTAGCAATATCCCATGCAAAGAAGACAAATAGAAGATAACAATGCAGCCAAACACCTAACCCCATCCTGTAGAAGTATTTTGTTGGTCCCTACTCAAAATATAAGACTCTTAAAATAAATCAGAAGTTTTTATTAGACAAATGTGGAAGTGAAAGCATCTCTAGGAGCCAAACAGAGAAAGAGCAGCAATTTTTTTTCATCAAGGGGGCTCCTGAGGAAGTCATCATCACATCTCAAAATGGAGTGCTAATATAGCTTTATTTTGTATAAATTAACAAATAATATTGCTTCTCTTATGGATAGTGAAGCAGTTACAACAGTGGGGGAATTTATGTTTGGTCTGAACAGCTGCATCTGAACCAAGTTGATCTAGATCAGGGGTAGGCAACCTTGGCTCTTTTATGACTCGTGGACTTCAACTCCCAGAATTCCTGAGCCAGCCATGCTGGCTCAGGAATTCTGGGAGTTGAAGTCCACGAGTCCTAAAAGAGCCAAGGTTGCCTACCCCTGATCTAGATTCTAGAAGCATGCTGTTATTAATTACTTTCCTGGGTCATCCAGAGTTTACTTGAAATAGAGAAGATGATTCTGTATTATTCTCCAGGTGTCTTGCATTTCCATTCCCATAATCCCCGACCTGCAGGACTAGGCTGGGTCAGCATCCGACAGCTAAAATCCAATATTTCTGGAGAATATCAGAGATTGCTGAAGGCGGCAAAGATCGTTTGGAGTTACAAGAAAGTGGGAAAGGGGGGAATCTTTTATCTCTCTCGTGAGCTGCCCCAACTTTCCAAAGATGCCACGTGCACATACCCCGGCATCAAAGATGAGTGACCATACTGTAGTCCAAGCCAGAAGCATTTTTCTACAGTCCAGAAAAGGCGCGAGGGCAAGGGAGAGAGTCCAGCTCCAAAAGAGAGCCCTAACTTCCGCATCTCCCGGAGAGACTGGAAATGGGAAACGCAGTGGCGGATCTCCTCGGATCTAATTCCCCAAAAGACACATTGGAGCCGAAAGATCGCTTCTGGCAGAAGCCGCTACCATTAAGTGGCTCTTCGTTCGCCCCACACCCCACAACAGCCACTAATCCAACCAGGCTCATCTCCTCCCGGCAAGCAGGTGGCCGCCGCAGCCCTGGAGTTGTGCGCCTGGGGCACTTAAAAGTTAGCTGGATCTTGCAATAATTGAAGGAAAAGACAGAGAGGGTGAACTCGCCAAACCCAAACGGTGAGGTCTTCAGGAGAGAGCCCCGAGGTCGGGCCCAGAAACTCAACGGTTGTGAAGAATCAAATACGCATCCACTTTGCGATGCCGTCAGGAACAGAACCTGGGTATCTTCGTCTCCCGGGCCGCCAATTGCTCTGCGAAAGCTCTCAACAGACAACTCGAAGACACTTCCGGCGAGTTGTGGGAGCAGAGTGCGACCTCGGAGAGCAGACTGAATCCTGCTTCTCAGACGATGAGGCAGAAGAACCAAAGGAAATCTAAATCTTTTACTTTCTTCTGCACCTTAATACCTCTGCGCAACCAGGGGTGCACGAAACTCCCCCTCCCCAATTGATTGAGCACCTCTTACAAGGGATGAGTAAGCTCCTGACTTTTCCTTTGTTTACTCACTGTTTACCATAGAGCAGGGTTTCCCAATCACGGGGAAACCCTAGGGCAGGGGTAGGCAACCTTGGCTCTTTTATGACTCGTGGACTTCAACTCCCAGAATTCCTGACCCAGCCATGCTGGCTCAGGAATTCTGGGAGTTGAAGTCCACGAGTCATAAAAGAGCCAAGGTTGCCTACCCCTGCCCTAGGGGGTGCGAGATGATATTCCAGAGGGTGCAAAAACTTGGGTTTTCAAAATTAGTGTATATGCATAATTTGTTGCCGTTGTTTCGAACTTTTGTAAGGGGTGCGAGAATATATCAGAAGTGTTCTAGGGGTGCGGGGTATAAAAAAGGTTGGGAGCCATTCTGCCATAGAGGCACAGTAGCATCATCAAAAAGTGCAAAGGCATTATTAAAATGCTGAGATGTAATTATTTATTTCACAGGCCCCGATCATCAGAGTAACTTTTTGATGATGGGTGCCAGAACAACATATTTACAGAGAATGCCATTATAAAATCTGCAGGAAAAATGACATGGGGCTGAATTACAGGGCTTGCCAGCATACCGGTTTCTACACAACATTTTAGCCATACCATATGGCTAATCGTAACAAATGGGAAGTCACAGCCTTTTACTTGTAAACACCAGATTTTTCTGCACTTTTATCTTTTTTATCTAAACTTGCAACAACCAAAGCAAGCCCTTTTTATGTGTGATATATGAAGTTATCTACTGCAGTTGTTTTAGGATGGTTCATCTGTGAGGAAAAGCAACTATCACTACAATCATGGCTATAAGTCAGTAAAAGATCTGCATTTTGCATGCATCTCTCCACCTCTTCCTCATTATTTCATCAAATGTTTCTATTTTACAGGCATTTACAGGAGAAAAAAATAAATTGCTATATGTTCTCCTTTATCAGTGATGGCAAACCTTTTAGAGACCAAGTGCCCAAATTGCAACCCAAAACCCACTTATATATCGCCGGGTGCCGGGTGGGTGTGGCCCACTCGGCGGGTGCAGATAGTGGGCTGGGCAGACTGGGTGGGTGTGGCTGCAGTAGACATGGCAGATTAGGTGGGCATGGCCGGGGTGGGCGTGGCCACCTTGATGTTGCTTATGGGGAGGGACACCTGTGGGAGCCGGGCAGGATTGGGGGAGATGCAGGGGGTCTCTGGCGGGTGGGATGATGGGCTCCCCAATGGCGGCTCCAGGTTGGCTGGCCTTAGGCCAGTGATGGCGAACTTTTAGAGACCACGTGTGCTGGGGCGATGGCGTGTGCCTACAGAGGGCTCTGCGTGCCATTTCTGGCACACGTGCCATAGGTTCGCCACCACTGTCCTATATCAAAAGATGAATACTCACTACATAATTTTGAGAGAGAAAAAAAATAGAAAAATGGGGGGCTATACTTGCAGTAAAAAAAAACCTGAAAGCAAGCATTGATATTTCCAAGCTATTTCACATACTACAACAAACTATTCATGTGGGTAGAGCTTTCAGCATCTGTCATGTATAGCATTATATAGTTTCACACACACTGTATGCTGAAGTATTTAACATGCAAAGCAGTCCCATAAGAAATATCTAACAGTTTTGCAGTTTATTGTTTTTTTGTGTTACTTCCTAGATTCTCTTCAGAAACCAGAAAAGATTATAAATATCTTAATAAAAGTCTCTACATCTTTGCCTTGGGATACAGATGAACTTTATAAATTGTTTTGTCGTTGGTTCATTTATCCCATATCATCTCCAAGCCTTCATGTGGATAGACTTTTCCAATAATTTTTTAGTTTAAAAACAATGTAGTAGTAAAGTACAAATCCAAGCCAATTAATACTACACTTAAACAAGTACAACCATATCAAATATATACAATATCCATTTGCTTGTGAAAGCTGATTCACCACAAGTTACATTTTTCCAGATATTAAACATCATTTGACTTCCTTTACTCCATGTCTGATCCTATTTCAGAAGATTTGATTATACAATTCATTTGCATTAAAATATTTAAGCAGGGCATGTTATATAATAACAGCTAGCAAAAAGACTTCTTTGCTAGCACACAGAAACGGTGTTAAATGGGACAATTCACTCTTCTCCATTCATAACCTGACTTTTAAATCTTTGCTGTATGCATATCTTAATAACTCTCTACAACTGTCTAATTTATTTCCAGCGAATAATGCTGTATATATTATACACACTATGGAAAACAATAAATGTTCAGAAAACTAAATTTGGGGCATGGGAGGGGGAGGATTTTAACAGATTTCCAATTCAGGAGATAATGCAATTTCTGCAGAAAATATAAATGACTTAAACACTTTATACAGGCTGGAAATCAGTGCTCCAACAGGACTGTAAATATATCATAGCCTTATTGATAAAAAAAGTTTGCTTTTGAAAGATTTAAAGTTAAAATACACTGGAATGTGTATTTTCTTTGAACCAGTATTACAGGTAGTCCTTATTTAATGTCCATTCCTTCAGTGACCATTTGAAATTACAGCGGCATTGAACAAGAGGCTCTTGTGACAGGTCCTAATAATCCTTATAGGATTTGCCCCATGATAGCAACTAGGACTGTTGGAACTGCAGTCATAAGTTGGCTTGGTCACATGACATCATGCCTTACGACCCTATCACTTGGTAACGAAGTAATTAAATTGTTACATACTGAATATTAACGTTTTGAGCACTGAGTCTTTTGTAGGCACAGCCAACACAACAGTGTTAAGGGATGCAGTGCTACAGAGCTGATGTACATGAGAGTTACCTCACTCCTTCACAGGTTGGAGCAAGCATATATAGCCATGCCCAACAAAATCTCCACTGCCGAATACCAATAATTTTACAAGTGTGATTTTTTTTTTGTATTAAAGCAGTCCCTTCCATTCTACTTAAGGCTTTTTGGCATAGGCTTCTCATAATGGCATCTATTGGAAAATTAGTAATCATAGGGCGAGAGCTATACCTATTTTAATTTTCATATTAATAGCATGCTGAATACAGAAACATTTTGCCTACTTTTCCCCACATGAGCTAGCATGTTTCCAACTTGACGGAGATTTCCAAATACTATGTTAAGAGTATCAGAATGGGATTTGCTGATTATTCAAACTGACTTCTTAAAAGAAGTGATATCAGTTCTGCAGCATTCCTTTCCAAACGTTTGTTGAGCAGAGAGGATACAAAGCAACACAATGTGCTGTCGGTGTCTCTGTCTCTCCTTAACCACCACTTCTTTCCACACTTAAAGTTATCCCATGAAGTCAAAGATCAGAGGTTATGCATTAAAAAGAAGATAGTCTTGCTTTTCAATCCCAACCACCTTTTCCAACTGCAAATAGGATGATGTATGCTACATTATCAACAGAAAGGCTGCCTAGAAATTCTACTTTTCTTCAAAACACAGGAAAACAAAGAATGAGTGCATGCCCTTTTATTATAGGTTTAACTTTGGATGAGCATGCTGATAAAATATTTGAAGGTTGAGGGAAATGTTCTATCATCGATATAAATAATCAGCTTCGATATTAGCAGAAATCTCAGCTTCCCACTTGTCTCCATTGTTGAGCAGCTTCTCTTTGTTGTATAGGAGCTCTTCGTGTGTCTCAGTGGAGAACTCAAAATTGGGGCCCTGCAGAGACAGAGCAAAGAGACGTAGTAAAATCAAATCCAGACTGACATCTTAGTTAACAAAATCACCCATCCACTATCCCATTCACCTCCACAATGGCATCAACAGGACAGGCTTCCTGGCAAAATCCACAGTAGATACATTTGGTCATATCAATGTCGTATCGAGTAGTCCTGCGGCTACCATCAGCTCGAGTCTCTGCCTCAATAGTGATTGCCTGTTGAGAAAAAGGATTCTCAGAGTCAGGAGGGCACCCTGGGATTATTCAAAAATTAGCTGTAAACATCTTAGCAGTGGGATGTCAGGCAGGAGGATCTCCTACTCCCTCTCCTAGCTTGTTGCAAGTCTGACCCACAGAAATTATTCAATCCTGCTTTAGCATACTGACATTCCAAACTCCAGTTTTAGAAGTCTAGACAATCCAAGCTGAAATTTATCCATGCTATAATAAATTCATTTGGAATGAAGGACCTGAATCAAAGACATGCAACACTTAAGAAAACTAGAGAGGGATAATACCACAGAAGAGAAGGGATTCTTGAAGACAAAAGTGCTTTCGCTATAGCCAGCAGAATTTTAGCATTAGATGGAACATCCATTCCTAAATAACTTTCCCTTAGCGCTAGAGAAAATCCATGGTTTTAGCATTAACTTTAGAACTGTTTGCATGTGCGAAGAAATCAGATAATGATATAATTTGGGCTAAGCCCCTACATTAATAAAAAGCACTCTGTTTTTTTAATACAGTGTTTTTTTATTAATGTAGGGGCTTAGCCCAAATTATATCATTATCTGATTTCTTTGCACATGCATACAGTTCTAGAATTAAATTATTAAAGACTTTTATGAGATACTTTATAAAGCAGAGGAAATTTCAAAAGAAAAAATACAGAAGTTCCTAAAAAAAGCAGACTTACCAAAAATTCCAGAGAATATTCAAAATATATTAAATCGGAAAATATCAATGATAAAAGAGGCCATAAAAAGGCAAAAAATGGTAAGTCCCTGGGCCCAGATGGATTACCTATGGAGCTCTACAAATCACTACAAGATATACTAAGCCCAATATTGAAAGAATTGTGTAATGAAATACTTTTGGAGGCTAAAATATCAAATACATGGACTGAAGCTAATATTTCCTTAATATCCAAAGAAGACTCTGACTTGACGCAAATAAAAAATTACAACCAATATCGTTATTAAATGTAGACTACAAAATTTTCGCTTCAATAATAGCAGAAAGACTAAAGAAATTCCTGACCGAATTTATACATACAAACCAAAATGGCTTTCTACCTAAAAGATAGATAAAAAATAATTTAAGAACGATTCTAGATGTTTTAGAGTGGTATGAAATTCATTCAGGGAAAAAGATGGCTTTAATATTTCTAGATGCACAGAAAGCGTTCGACAACGTAAACTGGCAATTTATGTTCCAGCAACTAGAGCAGGCATGTCAAACTCACGACGTCACATGATGTCGCACGACGTATTGGGACTTTTTCCCCATTGCCAGCAATGTGGTGGGCGCGGTTTCGGCATGACGCATCCGGCCTGTGGGCCGGCAGTTTGACATGCCTGAACTAGAGGAAATGAACTTTGGAGAAAATTTTACAAATGTAATCAAAACGATTTATCATAAACAAACAGCTAAAATAATTGTAAATGGAGATTTTACAGAAAACTTTGACATTAAAAAAGGCACAAGAGAGGGATGCCCACTATCTTCACTATTATTTATATTAACACTGGAAATATTGAATAGAAATATTAGACAAGATATAGAAATTAAAGGACTGGAAATAAAAGATGAAAAATACAAACTACAAGCATTTGCAGATGACTTGGTTTTCATATTAGAAGAACCGCTTGAAACAAGCGTTAAGCTTATGGAGAAAATATAAGAATTTGGAGAAGTGGCAAGGTTGAAAATAAACAGAGAAAAGACTAATGTGCTAACTAAAAACTTAACAGAAAAACAAAAAAATAGATTAGGAAAAAAACAAACCTTCAAATAGTTAAAAATATTTGGGAATTTACTTAACAGCAAGATGTGCAACAATAAAAGAAGACAACTATGTAAGATTGTTAAAACAAATAAAATGGAATCTGGAAAAATGGAAAAACTTACAACTTTCAATACTGGGGAGAACAGCAATAGTGAAAATGAATATCTTACCAAAAATACTCTTTTTATTTCAAACGATATCTATAAGATTGGGGAAAAACATTTTTGATGAACTAAATACAACAATACTGAAATTTATCTGGCAAGGAAAAAAAGGTAGAATTAGACTGAAAATGTTACAAGAAGCGAAAGAAAATGGAGGACTTGGACTGTTGGATTGGACGCTATGCTACCAAGCAACTATATTAACATGGCTAAAAGAATGGATAGTGCTTAAGAGATAAAAGACTATTATACTTAGAGGGGCATGACCTACAACTTGGATGGCATGCCTTTCTGTGGTATGGGAAGAATAAAATACATAGATACTTTCAAAACCACTTTATAAGAAGTGCACTTCTTTTAGAATGGGAAAAAACAAAAGCGAAAATCTATATTAAAATACCTGGGTGGCTTTCAACAATAGAAGCATTTGCTTACCCAAACTTAATCAATTACTAGAAAGTTGTGACTTATAAAGATATTTTAGACAATGAAGGAAAACTGAAAGACAGAAAAGATTTACAAGAACAAGGTATTGAACTATCATGGTGGCCATACTTGCAAATTCAAACAAGATATGAAAAAGATGCTACAACAGGATTTTATAAAGAACAGACAGAATTTGACCAGATACTGCTAAAAACAGATGAAAAATTGATTAAGAAACTCTATAAATATTTGTTAAACTTAAAGATGGAAGAGGAACAAGTAAAAGAAGCAATGATAACATGGGCAAAGAACTTTGGACATAATATAGAATTAGAAAACTGGCAAAGATTATGGGAAATAAATGCTAAATGAATGAAAGCGGTGGCTTACAAAGAAAACTTATACAAAATGTTTTACAGATGGCATCTTACACCAGTGAGATTAGCGAAAATGTTCAAAAATACATCAAATAAATGTTGGAAATATAAACAAAAAACAGGTACTTATCATATCTGGTGTACATGCTCTAAAGCTAAAAGAGTTTGGTCAAAAATACACATATGGTTGGAAAAAATGACTAAAAAACATATAGATTTCAAACCAGAACTGTTTCTGTTAGGCACAATAGGAGAAAACTATGAGAAAGATTGTATATACTTAATTTTACATGTATTAACTGCAGCAAGAATTGTATTTGCCCAATATTGGAAAAATGAAAACTTATCAACAGAAGAACTACTAATTAAGAAAATATTAGCCTGTGCAGAAATGGACAGATTGACATTAAAAATAAAAGAGAAAGTATACTCAGTGTACTTTAGAATATGGGACCATTTTTACCAATGGCTAGAAAAGCGAGTTAGAGAGAAAGGAACATGAAATGTACTATGTAACATTGAATATATACTAATAAGAAAAAGACTATTGAGCGATTAACTAACATATTATGATAATATAGAAATTAACTCTTACTAATTGTTTTTAAATACATGAACCCAGACAATATGCTGTTTGCTAAATATGAAGAATGTTATTTAAAAAAAAAACCAACCCTAATCCTAACACTACAAAAATTAATAAAATATGTACAAAAATAAATAAATAAAAAGCACTGTGTTTCAGTTCTCATTAACACCTCTCCTGCGCGAGCTGCACTGGCTGCCTGTGGCCTTCCAGGTGCGCTTCAAGGTGTTAGTAACAACCTTTAAAGCGCTCCGTGGCAATGGACCTAGGTATTTGCAAGACCGCCTCCTACCAAACACCTCCCTTCGACCAGTCCGCTCCCACAGAGAGGGCCTCCTTAGGGTGCCGTCGGCCAGACAATGCCGGCTGGCGACCCCCAGGGGGAGAGGAGAGCCTTCTCTGTGGCAGCTCCTGCCCTCTGGAATGACCTACCCCCCGACCTACGTACAGTTGCGGACCTGCGCCTTTTTCGCCGAGCCCTGAAGGCTCATCTATTCTGTGCGGCCGGCCTGGCGTAGTTTGATTATGTTTTAGTGGGGGTTTTGTATGGGGTATTTTTAGAGCAGGCCTGTTATTTAATTTGATTTTAGACAGAAATTTGTGTATATTTATTGTGGTTTTTATTATCGCCTGTTCACCGCCCTAAGTCCCGTAAGGGAGATAGGGCGGTATATAAATTCAATAAATAATAATAATAATAATAATAATAATAATAATAATAATAATAATAATTATTATTATTATTATTATTATTATTATTATTATTATTATTATTATTATTATTATTATTATTATTATTAGCAGGTTGTGAGTGGAATTCTGCAGCCGAGAGACATATTCACTGAGATTACAGAAACTCTTCACATATATATTGTCACATCCAGGCTTCACTGAATTCCTTGCAACTTACCTATTCTATATGGGACTTCTGGGAATGTACTTCCAGAAGGGAAATTAAATCACCTACCAGGCTGGAAAATATTAGAGCACAGGCTTTAGGAAGCTACCCAGAGCTTCATCTAGTTCCCTCCTGCTGCAAGGAAAATATCTTCCATCATACAAACGAGAAAATAAGGTGCAGCCATAGAGAAGACACGAGGCCCATCTTATGACAGCTCCTTAACCCAGCTCACAATTTTCATCTGTAGTAGCTAGGAATCAAATGCTTTTTGCATCAAATTTTGCAATATTTTGGAAAAAGCTTATTAAAGCAGCACATGTGGGAAAAGAAGGAAAAGTTGAAAAAAGAAGCCTCACCTGAGCAGGGCATACAGCTTCACACAGCTTGCAAGCAATGCATCGCTCCTCTCCAGATGGGTATCTGCGCAGGGCATGCTCTCCACGGAATCGGGGACTCAATGGGCCTTTCTCAAAAGGATAGTTTATAGTGGCAGGCTCTCGAAATACATAACTCATGGTGGTAGCTAAACCTAATTTCAAACGGAACAAAATTACACCATTGGTGTAAGTAAGCCGAAGAAGAGCAAAACTGGTGCCCTCAGAGGTTTGGGACTGCAATTTCATACTCTCAGTCATACCAAATGAGACAAATGTGAACTGGAATCCAATTTATCTAAGAACACCAGGATGCCAAATTCTGAAATTCATTATGAGATAAATGTGAACTGGAATCTAATTTATCTAAGAACACCAGGATGCCAAATTCTGAAATTCATTATGCACGCGCACGCACACACACACGAGACCCGGTGAGAACTGCAGAATGCCAGAAGAGCAGGCAAGTATATATATATATCCCACTTCAAAGTAAGTACGGTGAAGATCTGTTCTCCCTTGTTCAAAAATACAGATGACCAAACGGGTTAAATTTACAGGAAACGAAATGCCAACTGAATGGTAGAAAAAATCTTAACAGTAGGTTCAAAGTGGAGCCAGCTGCCCTCAGAAATGGAGGCCTCCTTTGACACTGAATAGGGAAGCTAGACAGGGATTTGTCATGGCTGCTTTAATTCGGATTCCTACATGAAAGAGAGGGTTAGACTAAAATGCAAGGATCCTCCTCATGCTGCAGTTTTATAGAATACAGATGTTTTCTATCTATTAGGAGTCTGTCTTCAAATGCCCATTCCAATTTAAAAAAACAATAACAATCCACACATTAGAACACTGTTTCTCAACCTCAGCAACTTTAAGATGTGTGGATTTCTGAGAATTCCCAGGCCAGCATGTATGGCCTGGGACAGGGGTAGGCAACTTTGGCTCTTTTATGACTCGTGGACTTCAACTCCTAGAATTCCTGAGCCAATTCTGGGAGTTGAAGTCCATGAGTCATAAAAGAGCCAAAGTTGCCTACCCCTGGCCTAGGAAAAGAAAATAAATTATATATCCAACGGTTAGGCTGCAAGGACAAGAGGAAGCATAATAGGACAGAACAACTAACTTCCTTAGGGTAAACCATTTTATGTCATTTCACTTAATGCTCAGAAATAACAGCCATCACTTTTCTCATTACTTCTCACCTCGAATAAGTTCTGTCCACAAGAGAGTCTGTGCAGCTTTATCAGTGACCGATTTCCAGTCTGCTGGCTCCTCCTTTGCATTCACATACTCTGCAGCAAAACAACAATGAGGAGGGAATTGTTGCCATTCAGAAGTCTCAAAGACATCACAGAAGCATTTTATAGGAAAGAAACAATAACCTAGCGAGAAGTATTAAAACAAGAACATGGAGAACGTTAAGACGAAACCAAGCGAGCAGCTGACTGCAGGTGGATTTAGCTTTGAATGGTTTTTGTGTGCACAATTAAGAGAAAGATTGAAGATAGATTACAGGACATTTGGAACCGAGTAACAGAAGACAGAATTTGAAATTGAAATGCACAGATGAACGTGTAATTTGCCAAACTCTTCAACTCTTGCTGAAATTTGAAATGTAGGACAAACAAGAGAATGTATGATAGAATAGCCTAAGAATTTTGGACATAACATACTGCTGGAACAGTAGGAAAACATGTGGTTAGAAGGATTGAAATTCACATAATGTTATAACCTATAAGAGTATGTTGGTAAATTGATAGACTGTTGGCATATGACTCCAGAATAATTATCCAGAATGTATAAAGGTACTTCAAATTTATGCTAGAAATGTGGACATACACAAAGAGGTTGGGTTTTTTTTTTCATGCTTCATGGACTTGTAAAAAGCAAAACAGTAAATTTTGGATTCAAATACATATACCGATAAAAAGAATTTTAAAGATTAAAATTCAACTGACACCAGAACTATTAGAAAAAAGATTATTTTTACATATGAACCCTGCTGAGAGACAACTATACACACAAAAATGGAAAGATGCCATAATACCTCCACAGGTATTTTGATGATGATCTAGCACAGATGACAAAATTAACTTGTTAGCTTAGAAAAAGATCAACTACTACATTTAGTAGAAACTGGAAAACCTTTATAGTGTTTTTGATGAAAAAAGAAAAAAAATGAAGTGATGATTTATGGATTTGATGATGAGCAAGGGTAGATTATAGAAAAAAGGGGCCATTATATATATATATAAATTAGTTTTCTAATTTTCCAATTAAACATTTAAAAAGCAACGTGGTGACTGGGTAATCAATAATTCAATAACATACATAAATCTTTAGCACAAATCTCAAGTTACAACATCAGATATTTCCTCTCTTTTTCCCTTAATATCTACTATCTCATGTTGAGCTAATATAGTTCTTATTGTTATCAACTAAGTAAAACCATCTTTGTTACATTTATCAATAATGTTTAGCTTATACATATCTTAATTGTGTTTGCATTCAATCCTTATATACAATCAATGTCCTGATATTGCTTTTTTCCCAGGATTTAATTTCCCCTCAATAGTCAACTTAACATTTGATATACTATAATTTCCAAGCTTTAGGTGACCAGAGTTTCCCTTATCTCAACTTCTACATTTTCCCCTTTTTATAACAAAATCTAATATTCTAAATATACATCTTATCTATTTGGATATAATCTTATTTTATTTTCTAAAAGTTATCTATTTTTCACCATATTAAACCAAAAGTCTATTAATCTTATTACACATCTTACCTATTCAATTATAATGTTAGTACTTTATTTTCTAAAAATGATCTATTTTCTACTATATTCAACCCTCTACAGTAGTATAAAATTCCCCTCTAATAAATCAAAACCCTAGTTTCTTTCAGCCTTACTCTGGCTTTTTCTTTTGCCAACTAACCTTCCATGTCAGTACTTTTGAATCCTCAAACAGTTCTCCCTCTATTATTATATGTATTATTTGAAATAAGAAAGACCATTTAATTACAGTTTTTTTGGAAGAACATCAAAAGGAACCTTTGATGTTATCTTAGAGAGGGTAAAATATGAATGTACATACACTACTATTAAGAAGACCAGAAGCCACTTGTTTATTGTTTATTATTTTTCCCTTTTTTCTAATTTTCTTTTTAAATTTTATATTAACTTTCTCCTTTATCTTTAACTTAAAATTCGAATTGTTTTTACCCTGTAGAAAAACTTCTGTAATGAAATTTATACAGTAAATACATATAAAATAAATCATTATACAAAGATGACCACGCTAATAAAAGATTTATTATGGAAACTGCACAAACAGAAGCATAGGTCTCAATGTTCTTCGGGGGGCAAAAATCTTGCAAAGAACATTGTCCATGTCCAAGGACACTGGTAACTGTTTCCTTGCCTGTCCTATTCCCAGCAGAATCCATGAATTATCTTACAAATAACGACTTTACAAGTTGCACCAGCACAGCATAATTTTCTGGGCACTACATCTCACTGAGAAAAACTGC